TTTGCTTGGGATTTCACAGGCCAGGAGATGGCTTAAAGGCCTGTATGAAATTCACAGCACATTCAACATGACTTCAAGTTGCACCAGTTGCATGGAACACCTGCAAGTGAAAACAATGGGACTACTCTGTCCTTGTCTGCTTTTGATTTCAGATGAGGTGATTCCAGGTCAAAGTCCAGGTAAGAAGCTGTGATTCACTGAAACCCACATTTGACATTTGAAAGTCCTTAACATACTGTTGCCAGGGCTCTTCTGTGAAACCACATTAATGTCATAGCAGGTGCAGATTTTAACCTTGCCAGTGAATTATACACTGTACAGCATGGAGGGGAATTTCTGAAGAAGTTGCCACATATATGGGATCATTCCCTTATGCAACTGAATAGTGCACTGGCTTAGGAGGAAAGTGCAGAGGCCAAGTACTTATTCTCATATTTTACCTTTTTTTTTTTTTTTTCCTGAAATGGGCAGTGACCTAATGTAGAAATCTCCCATGATAAGGCATTAGTACATGTTCTACAGAAAACAACATATTTTTAGTTGAAAGGGGGCTGACAATGACTGAAGAAGTCTTTTAAAATCTCTAATAACTGTGATCCTGCTATTTCCATAGACATTTATAGTCTGTAGTACAAGATGATAAAAACTGAAATTGTTTGGGAAGTTCCTGTACTTTACAGAATTCTACTAGCTGCTTCTAAAACAAAAAAAGAATTTTCTGTATAAAGTACTCCAGATTAATTCTGTAGTTCTTTATACGGATTTTTTTTTTTAACCTGTGATTACTCTATCTCAAGACCCTATTTATAATAATTTATAAAGCACTATAAATACACTTACATGAGCAGTACAAAGGAATTCCCTCCAGTAAGTCAGCTTCATTAGGGGTCCAACTTAAATGCTTCTATGCAAATGTTCATAGCATGAGGAATAAACAAGGAGCTAGAGACTTGTGCGCACCTGCAGGGCTATGACCTTATTAGCATCATGAAGAGGTGGTGGGATAACTCCTATGACTGAAGTGTTGGAGTGGAAGGATACAGGCTCTTTAGGAAGGACAGGCAGGGTAGATGAGGAGGGGGGGTCACCTTCTATGTCAGTGACCAGCTGGAGTGCATGGAGCTCTTCCTGGGGATGGGTGAGGAACAATGCCAGCACCTATTTTCTAATGACTTACTCTAAATACCAACTGGAATATAATACCTTTAAAAGAAAGGTGTGTTTTGTTCTTCTTTGAGCTATAACATGTAGAGAAATAAGGGAAAGGCTCCTTACAGTGAATGATTCACTTTCCTGTAATACTGTGTGCAGCCTCTTGTCATTATGCCATACTTATAACACAGCAGAAATCACCTTTGAAATTACTTAACTGAATTGTAGGGATTATTCTATAGATAACCTATCCCAAGGCTGCTTTATCTTTTTTTCTTTCCTTTCATCTTCCACAAGGAGAATCTTCCTAAAGAACACTGAAGTTCATTGTGTTGATAAACTCGTGATCCCATCTAACCTGTATGGTTTATTTGGACAGATGGTTACCAGGAACCATTCAGAGCAGCATTAAAAGTCTAAATAAATGTGGACTGGGAGGATTAGACCCACCTTCCACCCCTGTTGCACTGAAGGTATTTTGGCTCCAGTTACAGAAGTCATCATGACATAGCAGTGATTTGTCTTCTGAACTGGACTTTAAGAACAAGGCTACTCTTCACTGTAAAAAAGTTTGCCTGAGCCAAACTTTGTAGGTCTTGCTTAATGGTTTCCCCAAATTCTTTCACATCTGCCTGCTTCTATGTATAATGAACTACCTGACCAAAAGTGTTTCACCCAGAGAGAGCAAATGCGTGACCTTTATAGACAAATCTGTAATAACTACACTGTCCAAACAGACATTTTGAAAAAAGAACAGAAAAATAAAAATACCCAGAGGTAATACTGTGGTTAAATGGAGACTTATTTCTATTCATTTCACTACTGATTTCTAAAATAAGTACTTGATGTATCTATGTGTGCTAGATGCTTTACTCAATGAATGTATGCACCAGGATTTCCATGTCAGAAGTCAGCGCTGATTTTTATGAGCAGAGTGTCTCATCTGCTATGAAATGGAAAGAAAGAGTTAAGTCTTTTTTTTTTTTTTTTTTTTTTCCTCCAGCTTTACATTTAGTACCAGAACATTAGAGAACTTTGTTTCTCTCAACTGTGAAATACTGTGCCTTGGCAATCTCCATTCTGTGGATCCATGATCCTGAGGCTGGTGGTCACACAGTTTCCAGGACTATCATGAGCAGACTCATGCAGTCTTTTCAGCAGTTCAGTATTTCAGAAATGCATCAGTATACCGATTCTTTCACATGTCTTTTGGGAGTGATGCTTTTTGTGAGGCTGCCTGGGCTACACTGCTCTCACCTGAACTGGTGGCCTCACTCTTCCAAGTACTTGGCACCCACATACCCACTGAAGGCAGTGGGAAAGATGAGTGTTCTGCAAATTTAGTTCATCAGCTTTGAAAACATATGCAATACTTATACTGGTACATTACTTTTCCACCAGCTGGAGTAGCTGGCACAAAAAAGGCTTAAAGATTGAAAGGGTTTTGTTTTGTTTTGTTTTCTGAGTACTTCCATTCTATTCAAGACCATATAACTCCGTGACTGTAAGAAATATTTGTTACTGAAGTACATGACACTTCTATAAGAATTTGCAGTCAATTGACTTTTGTGCGTGTGTGATGATAACAGTACTATTTATTACAGAAGCCTAAAGTATCTCTTTGAAAAGAAATTACCAAACCTAATATTTCTCTTTGTACAAAAATATTCTGTAAAAGATTATTTTCATGAATAGCAACACTTTGGTTCAATTTGTGTGTCTGTTTGCGATTTCTAAAGATGCTTTTAGATAGATCTCATTTCTATGAGGATTTGATAAGACAACTCTGAGGAAATAATAAACAGATTCTATTTATAATGGACTTGCTAACTAGCACTCAGAAAGAGCTTTTATGTGTGAGGGTTTTTTCTTTGAATTGATCTTCACTGGGATAAAACTATTATAATAGAATCCTGTTCAGTCCATAAGTACACAAGGACTTGATTCTGTCTGAACCCAGATCTAAGGAGGAAAATTCAATGTTTCTTTGAACAGTAGGTAATGGCAATACACTGATATTTCCATTAAAAAATACAAATTTAAAACCCCCAAGTTACTGTTTCCTCCTTTTCAGGATTCTTGGGTATATCTCATAATGCTACACCTACAGTGTCAGACTGGTTTATCTTGTGGTAGTATTCACACCTAAGCAGTTTATCAAGGAAGAAGGACCTGGCATACTTACTTTTCTCAGATTTCACATTGCCCTTAATAAGGACTGTAGAATTTATATTGTGACACATGGTGAAAGGTTCACGGGGGTGATTTTCACAATTACAGGAAGCCCAAGCTTCCACAAATAATAGCTTAATGGGACTGAATGAGCAAATTGGTGATTTGAACATACAGATAGATGTTTAATGAGCAGAGGCTTCAGGAGTAACAAGCCAGTTTCCAGTGCCTAGTTCACGATGCTCAGTAGAAATGTACATGACTTTTTATCCTGAAATGCAATGCTCCTGAAGAAGAGAGCTGATGTGATACTACAACTGGCCAATTTGACTCTGTTGACCATTCCCACTCAACTCAACCATTAAAACTTTTGTTTGTTCATCTGAAGATATGATTTATCTGATTCCTACAAGATTAAAGACTACAGAAGACCCATATTACTTTCCTGTTGCATGCAGAACTTTGTATTGTAGAGACCAGTGTAACTAGTTTAGATGAACAGTAAGTTCATTCCTCTTGCTCAAGGACCATGAGAAGTTCTCTAAATGTTTTTGAAGACCTGGGGCAGGATAATGCAAGACAGTGGGGAAGAAGAATCATCCTGGATTGCAGGGTCCTTTCACACAGAAGGGAGTTGTAAGTAACTTTGAAAGTTTCAAGCATGGAGTCTCCAGTGCATCAAAGGTTACTGCTTAAGTCTTCTTGCCCCACACAGCTGTTACCATCTTATCTGTCTATCTGGGACAGACTCAGGAAATAGTGCAGAAACAAATGACACAAACATACTCAGAACAGTTATCTTTAAAGTATTACAAAGAATTGTAGTTCAGTGGTGTAAAGAGTAAAAAATAAAAGCTTGATTTTAAAAGCTGTTTTTTTACCACCACAATTTGTTGAAGCAAATAAAAAGTATAAAACACTTTACAATTATTTTAATGGATACATCATGTTCTCCAGCATCAGAATTACGAAGGTGTAATTTGTTGTATTTATAACCTCTATCCTCATTTGCAGTGAAAATCTTACACATTTACTTTAAAGAGATTTCACTCAGAATACTTACCTACCTTGCTATTTTGCTCTTATTTATTATTATTACATATTTTATTTTATTCTTTCTAAGAAAATAAATGGCAAAAGACTAACTCATTATACAGAATCTCATAAAACTCTCACATTTCTTGGAAAAAAAAGGTTTATGCTAAGATTGGTACTGACATGCACTTTTTTTAATTGCTAGTAATGTATACACAAAGAATATGGTAGATATTATCACTGATATTGATGCTGAGGCTGTAGTAATCTTCTCTGTATCAGAAGTCCTTGCCATCATTTTGTTCTCTAGAGGATATAGGTTGATTAGGGCAGTCCCATTGTTTCATCTGAAATCTTAGCAGATTAATACTTTCATCAGGGCATCAATTTGTCCCACTTTTCTTTTTGCTGCTCTTTGTGAGTGACACAGCCAAAGGAACGCACCGCTTTAAACTGTCATTCAGTTTAACTCCTCCTCTGCAATTATACTGGCATGCATAATACATCATAACAAATTGGATTTTGCAAAGAAGCAACAACAGATATTATATTTGCTTGTGGCTTAAGATAGAAGCTGTTGTAATAGGGGAGGGAGGGGGTGAGCAATGGATAAAGAAATCGAATGAATTAAAACCACTTACAGAAAACAGCAGTTGCCTTCTATTTTCTCAAGGTTTCTTCTTCTTTAGTATAATGACCAATTGCAAAAGCAAAAGGAAATAAAAAATGAAATATTAAAACAAATTAAATAGCTTTACAATTAGCAAAGGCTTTACAAGGATGTTTGTTGTTTTAGCAGGAGATTTTCTTCTGGGTTTAGAGGCTAAAAATAACTGCCTTACTTCAAGGAAAGATTTCTGTTTGAACAAAAATTGTTAAAGGGACACCATCAAGTGAAGAATCCTACATCATATAGGACAAATATCTTTACCAGATCTCCTGGATGGAATAGGGAACTTCCATTGTTTTTTGATGAGTAAAAGCCCTTCCTCCATATTTCAAATTCTGTGATGGTTTTCCAATCTAACTGTAACAGACTCAGTGGCTGAGTATCCTCCTTCATGCATCTGATTGCCAGAGTTACCTAACATAAGGGACAACCCAGAATATCTTTCAAGTAGCTGTCTAGAGCCAACAACATATCCCTAGTGTGCATGGGACTTCAAGACAGCAACTAGATCAGTTGTCTCCTCCCTCAAAAAAGGCAAAATATGCATTTGTCAGAACATAAACAAAAAGTCTTTTGGTTTATAAAAGTATTTAGATAGATTCAATTAATTTTGTATTTTATGGCAGGTGCTCCACTTCATTTAAAAAATAAAGGAAGGGGGGGATCAGCTTTACTGGGACTATGAAGAATATTTTTGTCCTTTCAAAAATATAGTATTTTCGGCTCAACATTCGTAAAACAAAATTTTGTGGGTAAAATCTAAAGATTTAATATGAAATTAGAACTACATTGTTCAGAATCCCTGTCTTAAATTTCCCCTCCACCCCTGCATGTCACATCCCCTGTGATGATGTGCTAAAAGTTCTTGATTCAAACTTCAATAACCTAACAACATACTGGTATGAAACAAAAATAAAAAGAAAGTTCACAATATAAATAAGTGGAAACACAATAAGCAAAAGCACAAAACCTAACAACAGCGAACAGTGGAATCTTTATGAAATCCCAAGGTTTTTTGCACCCAGACTTTATAGTGGTGGGTATACCCTGGAACGTTTCACACAGCCTGAGGATAGAAGCAGTGACATAAGTGGTGACTTCACATGCTGCAGCTATAAATGATCTAGATATAAGGGTATCAGTGTGTGTTGGTTTTGGCTGGGATAGAGTTAATTTTCTTCATAGTAGCTGGTACGGTGCTATGTTTTGGATTTGTGTTGAAAACACCATTGATAACAGAGGGATGTTTTCATTATTGCTGAGCAGTGCTGAGGCAGAGCCAAGGCCTTTGCTGCTTCTCACCCCACCCCATCAGCGAGTGGGCTGGGGGTGCACGAGGAGCTGGGAGGGGACACAGCCGGGACAGCTGACCTCAGGGATATCTCACACCATATGGTGTCATGCTCAGCATATAAAGCTGGGGGAAGAAGAAGGAAGGGGGTACATTCAGAGTTACGGTGTTTGTCCTCCCAAGTCACTGTTACACATGATGGAGCCTGGCTTCCCTGGGCATGGATGCCTGCCTGCTGATGGGGAGTGGTTAATTAATTCCTTGTTTTGCTTTGCCTGCATGCACACCTTTTGCTTTACCTATTAAACTGTGTTTATCTCAACCCATGAGTTTTCTCACTTTTACTCCTTCAATTCTCTCCCACATCCCACTGGGGTGGGGAGTGAGCGAGTGGCTTTTTGGGGCTGAGTTGCCAGCTGGGGTTAAATGACAAAACAGTGATAAAGTGATACAAGGTGTGAATTTAGACAGTGAACATTTTGGAATACTCATGTTAGAACTATGTAGCACATTTTTATAGGTAAGCGATTCATTCTTATCTCCTCTAAAACTGTATCCTACTAACTTTTACCTTAATGATGGATGATAGCTCCAGGACCATTGCAAGGCCTCACAACATGGAACCATTATAATACGAATTATGTGAAGAGTAGAAATTACCAGCAAGATGACAATTTCTAGACTGATCTTAAAATAACCAGATACTTTCCTTCCTATAATTAAGCCAAGATCTTCCTTCCCAATTACACTGGCAGAAATTCCTTCTCAGTGAGACTGGCAGGTGGATATATAGTTATTTCCAATAGCATTAATGTATGTCACAGAGGTGGAAATGAGAGTTGGGAAACAGGAGGGCCTTATGCAAATAGGCAATTTTGGCTGCCAGTTATTTTGGTTGCATTGGTAGACTGCTACCTGATATACAACTACAGCCAAAGTTTAGAAAAGTGGTATCTTTGTAGAACATAGTCTGTTCATCTTAGTTACTAGGATAAGACATTTGGTTGCTTACACTATTATTACCATATTAGTGACCATTTTCAAGAAGTGCCCTTCAGCTACTGCTTTTCCCACACTAACACTGCTGAAACAAACCACTTGGATTTCACTGTGCATAAAATTAATTTCTTCTGAGAATGATCAAAGAACAGACTCTAAACACACTTCTGTAGTTTAGTATCCTCCTGTCACTAGTCTTTGTTGCTGTAAAACTGCATTTTCTATAATAATCTTTGTCTTGCACATTTAATACTAATTATTTTACTGTATTGTTACACAGATAATTGTGGGAGTTGTCAATTAAACTCTCGTTTATGTTCAAGCATAAGTCTGTTCTTAGTTCCTTACGCATATGCGTAAAAAAGTCTGTGTCCTGAAAACTGCAGTTTGCTTGATATATGCAGTTTTTATAGTTTATCAGATATTATTATGCTGAAGACTTCCATCCTCTATTTTTTTCTACAATGCAGTACTGCATAAGAATGTACTCTGTATTCATTTTTTTCAGACCATATTTTAAACTTCATTTTTGAAACTTTAAAAAGTAATAATGAAAACTCCCAATGGATTATGTCCAAAGACCATAATCAGGTCTGTACCTGGGTGAGATTTTTTTTAATAATTTTTCCCTTCTATTGAAGTTAGAGAGCATATTTCATGGCACTATTCCTTCTTAACAATGAGAAACCTGCTTCTAACAGTAGGGCAAGAAGAATACTTGCATGTTAACAAGTAATGCTGTCTACTATGTAATAGGGAATTTCCCATTGAAAAGAATGTGCTGAGTTTTATCTAGATTTTTATGATTTTCATGCTAATGAATGTGCAAAGACTATAGGATCACAGGTAATGATACAAGTTAAAACAATATTTGTTAGGTTTTTAACATTCATTTGCATTATATGTGAACCCAAAGAGTACAATACTATGCAGTTCAGATAATAAAAGGATCAGTCATTTCTCTTTGTCTAAATTGAACAGGAAGTTGACTAGCAGCCATAGGTGGTTAAAAATAAATTGCATTTAGAAAATTCCATCGATTTAGGGTATCAGGAGCAATGCAGGAAATTTGATTAATTATTTCAATGAGTTTTAGTCTACTGTGTCCTTCTAAATACAAGGAGAATCTGCCACTGAAATCAAAGTAGGTTTTGCAGTTCACCTCAATGAATCCTAAGACCTGCACGTCAGATTTTGTAACAATACACACACACTGATCTGGTGTAGTGGATACCTAGGCTTTGCCTGAAAATTAAAGGCTGGAAAATAAAGGGTATATTGCCTTCGCAGCTTAATTCACAGGTTACGTTATCTTGCCCAGAGGTTAAGTGTCATCAGACTGAAAAAATGGCTTTAGCTATTTTCTCATAAAATGCAACATATGATGAAGATATTTAATGGTCTCTGCAGCTGATGAAGAGTTACTCTCAGAGGTCTGGGAGGTTCAGTAACTTCCTTAACTTTTAAATACTTAATGGACCTCCCCAATGAAGCAAGATATCTTGTCAGACCAGGCTTTTTAAAAAATACCTAGTACTGTCTGTATCTATCCAGATGAAATGTACCAAGAAAGCAGTTTATATATTAAATCCACAGTCCATCCTCATTTTCTAAACTTACAAGATACCCTTGAAATTCTGCAATACCAGATGCTGTTATTCAGACATTATTTATTATAGTACAGATTTGTTTTGAAACGGACAACTCAATAATGGCTAGGACTTGAGTCACACTTATCACCTTGTTACACTTAAAGATGACATCCACTGAAAAGCCTTCCCAAATCCCATGGGCTGCTCTGCCCAGAGCTGCTGAACAATAGTATACCTTCAGTCTTGGCATTTCATCACATTCATCACATCCTGCATCATAACACTTCTGAATTCAGCCTGTATCTTTCTTAGCTTAAGAAAAACAGAAAAAATCCCAACTTCAGGACATTCCCGACTGAAGTAATCAATACATCATTATAATAAGGACTATCCTCATAGTCTAGCTATGAAGAATTCAAGCTGTGCAATGGTAGTGGTGCTGATGGCCCAAAGAAACTAAGGGACCACATTGCACACCAGCGAGTGGCAGAGCTGTGAGTGGATGGTTAAAGGACAGAAACTCCTTTGATTTCTGGTATGAGAGTTCGTGCCAGTCAGCAATATAAACTGAGACTGTTCTCTTCTTCAAATATGCCATAATTTCCCAGGGCTCATTGATAAGACCACCCTGCATATCCATTTTAATTCAACTAGAGTCTAGCGGTAATCCACATTCATTTAAAAGGCTCAAAAATGAGATGGACAAAATTTAATTATAAATGAATTAAAGAATTACTAATATTCTAGACCTGAAACAATTGAGAGTAAAACTGAATCATGAAACTGAAACTGCTTAGAAATAGTGATGGATCTTTAACTGTTAATAGGTGGAAGATATTCACCTTTATTGTATAAATGCAACTGTTTCTCGGAAGGTGTCTTGGTATCTTTTGAAAGAGGAGACCAGTACATGGATTTCAGTCCTTCTCAAACAAGTAATAATGAGAAGTTTTACTTAATTTATTTGTGGCATCCCACAAGAAACAATTCTCTCCAGTTATTTTCTATATTACTTAATCACTGAGGTGAATTTGTCAGATTATCTAGATTTGTGTGTCAATATAAAAATGATGATATTCAGTTCTTCCTATGTTTTACCAAATCTCCAGTATACAAAGTGCTTAGATAAGA